ATGAGTTTCCGTCTCTGAGTGAGTTTTTGTTGGATAGCCTGTGCTTGCTGGAGCAAAGACCTGTTTAAGGGCCAAGAGCGGCCCCCACGCCAGTCATCGGGTGGAATCTTCCATGACATGTCTCCACTTCCTCCCAGCTGAGTGGCTGCTGTCTTTAAGTTCCTTCTGCCAAGGTCAGGCAGATGTTTGTTGAAGGTTTGCTATGTAACAGGTACCACCTTATTACCTCTTTACTCCAATTTCCTTTGCTTCATATACTGTGGTTAGATGAATTCCTTTAGAGTCCCAAATAAAAAAAAAAAAGACAAAAAGCAATAGCTTCTGATTTTTAGCCAGGGGAAAGCCTGTGTTGTCCATCTCCAGGTAAACCCAGTGCATCCTTTTGTTTTACTGAGCCAGTCTTTTCCTCTTTCAGCAACACTAGCAAGACTTCTCAAATGTCTTCCTTAGATTGTCTTACAAAATATGCATTATCCAATTTCGTTTGGAACTTGAACCCAAAGATCAAGGCCAGCCATCTGTGATTTTTGAAACCTCTGGCTGTTGCTCAGTTTTCTGGGGCAGCCTTTCCCAGGCACATGCTGCGTCCAGCCGGCGTCAGCCAACCTCCAAGCTCCTCTTTCCTGCTCCCCTCAGGGTAAGTGGGGGTGTTGGAGAGGAGAGGGGGGTATCTGGGTTTTTTCTCCTTAGTTACCAGGATTGGGCACATTCTCTTTCTTCTTCCTTTGGAGATCATCCATTCTGAATTTTGAGTCTTCAAATAGGGTTGGAGGGTTCTTTATCCTTCAGATAACGTGTCTGTGATTGGCTGTCTGGAAACACATGGCGCTTCTGTCTGCCTCTCACAGGGTGAATCCAGTCCTTCAAATGGGAAGCTTTCCTGTAAGGTAGGTGGGGAGGGGGTAGTTAAAGAAGGCTGGGAGGAAATTAATTTGGGATAGGTAAGGCTTGTTGCTGCTCTTGCAAATTATAGTGGCTAATGAGGGCCTGGGTCGTCTTATGATAAAATTTGACATAAGAGATTTTTTTTGAGGTGTACAATAGAAATACTTCCTGCTGTAGATACATAATTGCATTGACATGTAAATCGTAGACAGAAAGAACAGATACAAAAAGCAAACTCTTCTTCCATGAGATTTGATAAGTGTGAGTTTTCTTAACAGTGTTCATCTGAATGTGGAGATGTTTTTTTTAAAAAGAGATGAAAGGCCCAAATGTTTGAACGATTAAGTAGGGAATAAGAATACTTATTTTCCACCCAAAACACTGCATATGTAATAAACCATGATGAGGAAGTAATGCCCCTGTAACCTTTTTCCTTTGGTAATTTATCTTTCTAATTCCAGTGGATGAAAGATGACTTTGTGCCTGGGGAGAGCAAGCAGGTCAGATTAATTTGTGCCATCACAGCACAGCTTTATTATCCATCCTTCGAGAGTTTTGCAATCAAGATGCTTTTAGCAGAAACACCGTGGAAAGGCCACTTCTCTCAGGGCTTGTAGGAGCTAAGCACTGCCCTTTGAGTGTCTCCGTGCTGCCTGGGCAGCCAAGAGGGCTGTTTTCTTCACTTCACACTCACCTCCTCCTGCCCCTGACTGTGCAGGGCAGACAGGTGTGGCCAGCGTGCTCCGCAGCCAGCAGGATCCCTCACCCAGGGTACCTCCCCCTATAAAGGGATGCTTGCTTTAAGACATCTCCACTTGTCCCCTTTCTGTGGATGGTGCCTGTTTGGATATCTGGCTCTTTGTCTGCTCAATATCAGGCATGCATTTTCTTTTTTAAAAAGTGTATTTTTACAGTGACATGGTATCATGAGTACCTTTAAAATGTGTATTTTTACAATCACATTATATTATGATTACCTTAAAAGAAAACTCTTTAAAAAGAATTATCCATGATTCTGTTTCCCTAATATAACATATCTTCATCCTCTGGGTTTTATATTTGTGTATATGTATATGTCTGTGTAGGTATATTTTTGTGTGTGTGTGTGTGTGTGTCTATTTTGTCATGTACCCATTTTCCTGTTACCCATGTAAAAAATCTTGGCATCAGCTCTATACCCTTTCTGCTCTGGAAATCCTGCCAGTGGATATGACATGAGGAAAGGAGAGGGGGCCGTGGTGTCCCGCAACTCTTAGCATGAATCTGGTTCCATCACACGGTGACTCACCTTGGGAAAGACCATCCTCTGTTTGTTGGTTCATTCATCTATCCATCTGTCTGTCCTCCCTGCCTCCCTTCCTGTCTCCTGTTCACGAGCATTCACTGTACTGTTGTACAGCATGCTAGATGTGGGGGATCTGGGCAGCATTTTCCCATCCATAAAATATAGATATTGCAGCATATTAAGGAGTATTGTTATGAGGATTCAACTTGCTAATGCATGTGAAGAGACCTAGCACAACAACAGCAACAGCCTGGCACGTGATAGGATGCCAGTTAATGGTGCTGTGTGATCAGTCAGCAAGTCTCATCGTTCTTATGTAATTTCCCTGGCCTCTGTTACTTCCATTTCTTAGCAGCCTGCATGATGATGGGCAATTACTTTCATACCTAGACTGTGCAAGGGGCTTTTAACGGGGCATCATAGGCCTCAATCTATTCTGTTAAATTCTTCCTATTACCACCGTTTGCACTTCTAAAGCATTGTTTTTGTGTGTGTTACTCTTGGTGCAGAACCTTTCAGTGACTTCGAGGCTTTTCTGAATTTCTTACTGGCCACTCGCGGCCCTCTCAGTACTCTGGGCTCCTCTTGAGATTTCAGCTCTGAGCCATCTTGCCACCCTCTTCCACCTACGGAAATGACTCACCCATTTGGTCTTCTGTGTCTACTGCCATATGTGCAGGGAACTGCATTGTCACTGGTGAGAGGAGAAAACAGCCTATGAGCCACACATTTGGGAAGCTCTGACCTTCCTTGTGCAGTGTCTTAGTTCATTTTTGCTGCTGTAACAGAATACCTGAGACTAGGTGATTGGTAAAGAACAGAAATTTGTGTTCTCACGGTTCTAGAGGCTGGGAAGTCCGAGATCAAGGTGCCAGCATTGAGCAAGGGCCTGTTTACTGCACGCTCCCCGGGGGACGTAGACCTTATCTTCACGTGGCAGAAGGGCATAGAGACAGAAGGGCATAGAGACAGAAGGGCATAGAGACAGAAGGGCATAGAGACAGAAGGGCATAGAGACAGAAGGGCATAGAGACAGAAGGGCATAGAGACAGAAGGGCATAGAGACAGAAGGGCATAGAGACAGAAGGGGGCTCTACTCACCCTTTTGTAATGACGTTGATTCTACCACTGAGGGCAAAGCCCTTATGGCCGAGTTACTCTCCAAGGGTCCCATCTCCCAAAACTGCCACTATGGCAACCAAATTTCAACACGGGTTTCAGAGCTGACTTGCAATCAAACCATAGCATGCAGTAAAGACTTATGACTAACCTAGTATTTCTGAGGGTATACTGTTTTTTAACATGTTGTTATTATTCAACAAATGATAAGAGTAGTAGATGATACCTTTTTGGAGCTAGACTTCAAGCTTTCAAGGAGAGACTAACTAGGTCATGTATTTTTTGCACCCTCTATATTATTACCATCAATACAAACCTTTTAGGGGGCCATGTGCAGTGGCTCACGCCTATAATCCCAGCACTTTGGGATGCCAAGGCGGGCAGATTGCTTGAGCTTAGGAGTTCGAGACCAGCCTGGGCAACATGGTGAAACCCTGTCTCTACAAAAATGTAAAAATTAGCAGGGTGTGGTGGCGCTCACCTGTATTCCCAGCTACTTGTGGGTCTGAGGCAGGAGGATTTCTTGAACCCAGGAGACTGAGGCTGCAGTGAGCCAAGATCACCCCACTGCATTCCAGCCTGGGTGACAAAGTGAGACCCTGTCTGGAGAAAAAAAACAAACCTCTTAGGGGATTACTTTCTATAACAATTATTTTGTTGATTCATCCTCAGGACTATTTATCAAAACCATGTTAAGCTCTGAAAATATTTACTGGGTAGTAGATTTTGCTGAATTTGCAGGAACTCTCCCAACTGGTGACAGCATCTGTAGCAAAAAGACAGATACACGAAGGTGTTAAGGTGTTTCCTAAGATTGTTTTGTTTTGTTTCATTTCAAAGGTGTGTTTTCTGTAGATTGCATTTGTGTCTGAATGAGTTTATTAAGTTCCGAATTCTGCTGAGGAAGTCCTGCAACCCACATTTGGGGATACTCACATTATTTATAATCAGTTATTATCTTTATATTTTATTTCACCCACAGAATATAATGTTTATATACATTTATGTGTGTGTTAGTGTGTTGCTATAGGATGGTGCAAAGTATTTTATTTTATTTTATTTTGTTTTATTTTATTTTTTTGGGACGGAGTTTCACTCTTGTTGCCCAGTCTGGAGTGCAGTAGCATGGATCTTGGCTCACTGCAGCCTACGCCTCCCAGGTTCAAGCAATTATCCTGCCTCAACCTCCCAAGTAGCTGGGATTACAGGCGCCCATCACCATGTCCAGCTCATTTTTTTTTTGTTATTGTATTTTTAGTAGAAATGGGGTTTTACTGTGTTGGCCAGGTTGCTCTGGAACTCCTGACCTCAAGTGATCCACCTGCCTTGGCCTCCCAAAGTGCTGGAATTACAGGCGTGAACCACCGCACCTGGCTAGGATGGCACAAACTATTTTAAATTTTGATTACCGGTTTCTACTTTGGGAAACTGTCTTACAATCTCTGATTCTCCTCTCCTTCAACTTCAGAGAGTAAGAGGCACTGTTTGTGGCCCTGTCAGTGCTGGCATTTTGGGACTCTGTTATCTATGAGTCTAATCATTACCAAATGTTGCTGATTCTAGAATGAAATGCCTTCTGATTGCTGTTTATCAGATTCCGTCTGTAGTGAAATTAAATTGACTTCTAACAGCAAGTATCTCTGTTTGGAAAATAAAGCTCGTATGTTAAATCATGTCTATTCTAATTTTAGTTTTCTTTTCTCTCCACCAGTTTGCTGTTTTGTGGTCCACAAGAGGTGCCATGAATTTGTTACTTTTTCTTGTCCGGGTGCAGATAAGGGACCCGACACTGATGTAAGTATTCTGGAAATCATGAGTTGATATCAATGTGGATTTCTGAACTTTAATTTTTTTAACGCCTGTACAACTGTTTGTTTTGGCACTTACTATTAATGGGAAGACTCAATTCCCATAGAACGTTGGCTTCTACTAATGAGCAGATTTATAGCTCATTCGAGTTCTGGACTACATCTTAGAGAAATTCTTGTAGGAGAATTTCTTGTTAGCATGTACTGTTCCACTCTGAGCAGCTGCATTGACTAAATCCACCAAATTTATCGTAATAGCTTTCATAAACACAATGCAGTTGTTGACAGATTTTATAATGAACATTTATCACCCTTCAGTTTCTTTCCTTTCCTTTTCCTTTTCCTTTTCCCTGTCCCTGTCCCTGTCCTTTCCTTGGAGTCTCACACTGTTGCCCAGGCTGGAGTGCAGTGACACGATCTCAGCTCACTGCAACCTCTGCCTTCCAAGTTCAAGTGATTTTCCTGCCTCAGCCTCCTGAGTAGCTGGGACTATAAGGCGTGCACCACCACGCACAGCTAATTTTTGTATTTTTAGTAGACATGGGGTTTCATCATGTTGGCAGGCTGTTCTTGAATCCTGACCTCAAGCGATCTGCCCATCTTGGCCTCCCAAAGTGGGCAGGTGTGAGCCACTGGGCCTGGCCACCCTTCAGTTTACTTCTAAGCTGAAATAAACCAATAGGAGCATCATTGCTTTGGGCCAATGTAACAAACTACTCCTGGTTTACTCCCGGGGATTCTTGCTGCCTTTTAAGTGTATATTATCAGTGCTGCGGCTGATTGAAATAATTTAGCATCTGTTTCACTGAACAGTGATCTCTGAAGTTGCCCATGTGTGAACACATAATTTCCTCTCTTTGTGGACAATTCTGATGGTCTCTGTTGCATCTCTTGTGTACTTAAAAATGGATCCACAGACCAGGCACGGTGGCTCACGCCGGTAATCCCAGCACTTTGGAAGGCTGAGGTGGGCGGATCACCTGAGGTTGGGAATTCGAGACCAGCCTGACCAACATGGAGAAACCCCATCTCTACTAAAAATACAAAATTCGCCGGGCATAGTGGCGCATCCTGTAATCCCAGCTCCTCAGGAGGCTGAGGCAGGAGAATTGCTTGAACCCGCGAGGCAGAGGTTGTGGTGAGCCAAGATAATTGTGCCATTGCAATCTAACCTGGGCAACAAGAGCAAAACTCCGTCTCAAAAAAAAGAAAAAAGAAAAAAAGGATCCACAAAGGAGTCATGGAAAATACCAATGTCTAAAATATGTTGGATGGAGAGAAACTTCAGCCGTTATATGAAAAGTAATATTTTAACTGAATTAAAAAAATTGTCAGGCAGGCTTAGAAGACTGGACATTTCTGTTCTGAATTGCTTTTGCTTGATCAGTTCAGTCACTCAAGTTGTGTGCTTGAAGCGATTCCCATCTTTAATGCCTGTTCCCATCAGGAAACTTTGATTTGAAAGCGGCTTTCTCAGTGCAGGCAAGACTCAATTCTTCCCTCTGCGAAAGATGACATTTTTGCAGCGTGCTCTGAGGGATTCCGGTTTACGTTATTGTAACACAAATAAGAGGAAAATTGCTGTTTGGTGTTCAGTGCACAGGAACATGCACAATGGGGTTAGGGTGCTCGTGGAGGCAAGATAGAGTGCCTGTTGTGGGTTCTGAGCCACCACGGGTTCCACAAAGGCTCCCAGGACATGGGAGCCAGAGGAAGCTCAGGGGTCATCTTGTTTTATAACTTCATGGACAAGGAAGTCCAAGTCCATGAATGTTGAGTGACTTGGCTGCATACAAACAAAACTAGTTAGTGTCATGCCCCCGCCCTGCCCCCCGGCCCCCGCCACTTTCCATCCTTCTCTTCTGGAACATTGTGGAATATTGTCTTCCTTTAGGGCATTTTAGAGGTAGAAATAGCTGGAACATAAAGTACTAACTTTTCCAAAATGCCAAGTCCTATTGACCTTGTTTGGAGTTGTCTAAAACCTCATGTCACAGCCTTCACTTCCTTGCTCATCATTCCCATCTTCATCTTGCTGTTTTTTTTTTTCTTTCCTCTCTTCTCTCTCCTCCCATTTCTGCCCCATCAAGAATGGGGAGGGAGGACGGGCAGTCAAGAACGGGGAGGGAGGACGGTCAGGCTTCAGGATGTGAGTAGTTTGTCCCTCTTCTCTTCCCTTTTTTCCCCCCTCCTACTTTTTCATTCTTTCGCTTAAATATTCTTTATTGAGAACCCATAATGGGCCAAAGTCTGTGCTGGGTCCTGGGGTATAACACTAAGCACGGAGATGTGCTCCTTACCCTCCTGGACGTTCTGCACGGGGAAGGCAGACATTAACATATCACTCATTAAAATAGGATACATGTACACTGAGCAGGTTTCTCTAAGGGACCTATTGCATTTAAACTGAGCTTGATGCATGGGTAGGAGATAGGCAGACGAAAGGAAGGGGTTGTGTGTGTGCACACGTGCATGGGGCCCTGGAAAAGGATGTTTGAGACAAAGGGAAGAGCAAGTGAGAACGCCAAGATGTGGGAAGTTTAATCAATAACAGAAAGCTGGGAGTTGGGTGTCTGGCAAGGATTTTGGGCACACTCTTAGGAGCACTGGGGGCTCAGGAAAGGTTTTAACCTAAAAATGATGTGGTCCGATTTGCATCTTAAAAGGTTCTGAGGGGGGGGGCTCCGCTGTAGCACTTGGGGGGGGGGGGAAAGGGGATCGGACTGGTAACGGCGTTCTAAAAATGAAAAATAGCGGGAGGGGGGGCGTGTAGCACCGGAGGTGAGGGGAATGGGTGAACCGGGAGGGAGCTTGCAGTGAGCGAGATGCGCACTGCATCCAGTGGGATAAGCGGATCTGTCTCAAAAAAAAAAAAAAAAAAAAAAGGTTACTCTGGTTGCCTTCTAAGAAATGGATTGGGCAGGAAGTGCGCTTGGTGTACTGGTGGAGATGGGGAAATAGCAAAGGCTGGAGAATACTGTGTAGAGGTACCTCTCCTCTGGGCGATGTCATAGGGGCTTGGTGTAGACGGACGCACTGGGGATAGACAGAGTCAACTCATTCAAGATATGTTTAGGAGCCAGATCTGCAGTTCTTGGTCATTGTTGGATCGGGGAGATGGAGATGTTGAAAATGACTCCCTGGTTTCTGGCATGAACATGTGAATGGATGGAGGTACATGAAAGCCATGGGGACTCTGGAGGGAGAGCATGTATTTGGGAGAGTGAGATGGGGCAGAACAGGGGTTTCACTTTGGTCATAGTCTGTTCCTGTTGCCAACACAAAATACTGTAGACTGGGTAATTTGTAATTAATAGGAAATGTTTTTTCACAGTTCTGGAGTCTGGGAAGTCCAAGATCAAGGTGCCAGCAGATTCTGACTGCCAGTGTCAGACATCTCACACTGAATATGTCTCCTAATGGTCCATATCCCCGAAAATTCGTATGCTGAAACTTAACTGCAGTGTGATTGTATGAAGAGGTGGGTCCTTTAGGAGGTGATTCAGCCATGAGGTGGGGCCTTCCTGAATGGGACCAGCTCCCTTGTAAGAGAGGTACAAGGGAGCTGTTACTGCCATTTCCCCTTTTAACCCTTCTGTTATGTGAGTACACAGCAAAAAGGCATCATCCAGGAAGCAGAGCCCAGCTCGCGCCAGATACAGAATCTGCTGGCACCATGATCTTGGAAGAGAAAGGAGAAAATCTGATTTTTGGTCTTTGGCGCGAGAGACCTATGACTAGGGCTTTCTGCAGCCAAGGCCTGAGAAGTGTTGACTGGCTGTGTGCAGGATGATTTTACTTACTCTGCAAATCTGCAAGCAAATCTTATGAAGGTACAGGATGATCAAACTGTCCTGTACCAGGGAGACAGTTGGAAAATCATGAAGGCATTGGGAGGTAGAACTGAGCTGAGATGCTAGAATGTTCTTATTTTATCCTTTTCTGAATACCATTTTTCTGCAAATCCCAGGAGTATTGAGCCAGAAGGGGTGTTAAGGATTTATCTGGGTTGACCTTATTTTATCGATGAGGAGACAGCTAAGGCAAAAATGATCTGAGGTACTGTCATATGTTATCTCTTGAGTATCCAGTGGGCTTGTGGCTGATTCTTTCAAGGCAATTGGTCATGAAGAGAAACGAGGTGTTGGTGGCTTGACTGGGTTGTGCAGCCAGTGGAGCACATTGACAGCTATTCCTTGGTGCATTTGTTGAAAATTCTGGTCAGGTGTTTAGAAAACTAGCAGGCTTATTTTACCATCTTGAGAATTATCTTATTCTCCAGTCCTTTTCAGTGTCTTAGAAATCGATCCAATAAAAAATGCCTGCCAGCAGGCTCAAGGAGAAAGACCAGTGAAAATAATGGGAGGTTTCAGAATTTAAGAGAAAAAAAAAAAAAAAAAACTGCCCGAAGCATTCTTCCCCTGAAAAATTTGAAAATTTTAAATTGGGATTTTTTTTTTCATACCATGGAGAATGGTTAAGATGTCCTGTTCATATGCTGCTTAATAGTACCTTAACTGAGCTTGGCAGACTCTTAACACATTCACAGACGGGGAAAAAGAAGGTACAATCCTTGTGAAATGCTCAAATGTTGTACCTGCTCTGCCATCTTCAAGATGAAAGGATGGGAAAAAGTACTGAGACATAAAATAGCAGTACCCAGATTACAGTAGCCAGATGGGAAGACATTACAAAGTTCTTTTGAACAGAGATGTTCTTCAAGACTCAAGGAGCAGTGGTAGTTGAGAGTATGCATTAGTGCAGGGAATCCTGGCAGAGAAAAGGCCCCCGGGTTCAGCAGAAGGCCCCTCCCTGGAGATCCTCAGGCCAATTTCTCAAGGGTCCTCTGCCCCTTCTGGATGAGATGGCATTCTGTACCAGCAAATCTAGAGCAAAAAGCCGAGCAATTCCTAGACTTTAAGTCTGTCCCCATACACACTGAGTAGAGAAGAAATGAAAGCAGAAGACTTAAAGGAACCTAACGTT